TAGGAATTCAATTCAACTCAGACTGCAGATACTGTAGAGAAGAGAGAGAAATTGCATACCATGTGCTTGGGGAGTGCTCGGCACTGATGCACAAGCGGAAGAGACACCTCAGAGGGTATTTCATGGAATATATAAACCTTAGACTAGAAAAGATAGGCTCTATACTATCTTTCATTTAAGAAATCGGACTTGAAGAAACACAATAATCCGACTAAGTGACACAATAGATCTTTTAGGCCGCAGTACACTATCCCTTCTTTTGAACAATCTATGCTTTAATCTAAATCACTATTTTCTATTGTACTACTTATTTAGCAACGCGCAAGAAATTTATGATTGTGTTAATTTAAAATAGAAGTGACGTTTTATAATTTAAATTACTTTCTGAACTTTTCCAAACTCCAAACTGAATATTTAAACTGCATATGTACGTCTGCGTTCTTCAATCAAATTTTTCTACATAATATTCCGCCGCATTAAAAATCATATTAAAGAAGTTCTATTATTTATGATTAAATTCAAGCAAAAATAATTTTCTTAACACAATTTGGATAGAATCATAGAAAAATTATATATATTAATTAATATAATAATTATGTCAACAGAATTTAAATTTTACAGTTCAGTTTTAATTTACATAATGAAAATTGTTTTATATGCCACTATCAGATCAGTACAGCTTAAAGCAAATATTAAAAAATAAAAATAAAAAAAAAAATTCTGCTACTACTTCCTGTGCATTTAATAATTACAGGGATTGGCTAAATTTTCCCTAAAGCGGAAATTATACGACAAACCAAAGAAAAACAATACATGAACACACCATAATTTACAACTACATAGGTATACTTATTATACAGGATAATTATATTGATATTTATTTTAATAATAGTAAATATAATAATGCAAATGAAAATAAGTCATGCAAACATGTGAACTCAGTTAGTAAGAAACATTCTAAACGATGAAAAAAAAAAAAAATTATGAAATTTAAATGAATTTTTTTTTTACCCATAAAAAGGCAAACTAAAATGTGTAACTACAAAATTATCGGGAAAAAAAGGAATGAGCGAAGCGGATTTTTAAGGCACAAATGTCGCCATCGGCTTTTATTATATTTCTTTGTTAACTACAAATGCCAGGACGATTGAAATCCATCAAACGCTTAACATGTGCCCGTAATATAAGCAAGCAAAAGCTTCAAAATACAAGTTCAACGACATTACACACCCTTAAGGCCATGACACGCGATGGAGGATCCAACGGACACCCACTCTAAACTATAACAGTCAGTGCAACCGCTAACTAAATAATTCACCACGTTTTTAACTCACCCTACCCTTTTTATGAAAGCGAACAGAGACAACAAACAATTACTACATAAACAACAAAAATACAAGTGAGTTGAATACGTTTATTGCATTCATTGCAGAACTCACGTTAAGGGCTCAAGGGTGCTGGCTGGCACTAGTGTTAGTCTAGTAGTACCGGTTTTTCCAGTTTTCTTGTGCTTTATTTGTGAGCAATTGCACTTGGCTGAATAACTCATTTGAGTTTCTTGTTTTATGCTCTTTTTGTTGTTGTCTTAAATTGTTTAAGTGCTTTTTTGTTTTTAATATTGAATATTATATTAACGTTTTTATATAACGTTGCTAGGCAAAGTTGAAAACAACTACCCATTCATCCACTTTTATATTTCTGCACGTCCCCCAACCTAGAATTCCTTTTAACAAAATTGAGTGACTGAATCTATACGACTATAAATAGACCAGGAAAAATTAAGTTGAAATTGGCGCCACAAGTTTGCCTACAGTCCCCATTTTATTACACCACGAATATTTTTGGCGCGACAAAATAGGAAATTGTGAGCTGGAGTCCAATAGGTGGGAGAAAGCAAAGAAATCAAATGAAATTTCTGTTTCTGCACATTTATATTCGTATATTTTCATGCATAGAAGGCAAGTAGTAGAAAACACTAAGAGTACTTTTTATAAAATTACAGGACGTGACGTCACCCTAATTTTATTTCAGTACGGGAAAATATGCTGATGTCATTAATCATTAACATTTGTTTGTAATTTTTATTTAAGTAATTAAATTATAATTTTCCTAATCAATGTTATTTATATTGAAATATAATATATTTTATAGTAAGATACTAAAATAGATAATTTTTAAAATAGAAAAAAAAATACTGAAAAAAATTTATATTTGAGTGAGGTGCGTCAAATATTTAAAATAACGAAGCTATTCGAAGCTGTAGAAAACTATATATGTATATTTTTATTTATTTTCCAACAAAAAGATAATTTGAATTGAATTTACATTGCAATAAAAGTAGTAAAAAAAAAAACCAAGTATTTTATTTCGAAGTATATGTATATTTAAAAGTCCTTCTCTTCAGACCGTAAATAATATTATTTGTTCAATAGTTGAATAAAAAATCAAGTACTATAAATTCAATGAATTAACTTATTTTTAATATCAACAGTTAAATTTTTATTGCTTTAAGAAAACACTAACTTCATATATTTTCCTATGGAAAATGAAGTCGCTCTTTTAGTATAATTTAATAATAAAGTCTTTATTTCCTGAGGTTTTATGAAATTATTTTTATTTTAAGATTTTTATGTTGAGAATCAGAAAAATATTATTTGTAACTTTAAAACTTTATACATTTCATCTTCATTTAATTTTATTTATTTATTTTATTTTAATTTTTGACGTTTCTTTTACGAATTGTATACTGTATGTATTATCTCAAAGAGCTTAACCGTGTCTCGTCAGGAAATCCATTATAATTCGAATTATCTAAATAATTCATGATATAGAAACTATATGTCCATAATATTTATTTTTAAATTAATCATATAATTTTTTTCCGTAAATAATATATTAAAAAATAATTTAGGAACATATACATACTATCATACAAATTTAAGTAATTCAAATTATAGTGGAAGATGTAATTACGAACACTACAAAAACTTGATGTATATACCTATCTATGCAATACAATTATTTAATTTTCCCAAATGATAAAATTTAAATAAAATTTAGAGCTTAAAATTAAATTTGTTTCTCTATATATTATGCGTGTTTTGTTTCAAGTGACTGTGCCAATTACATTTTCCACACGTTCCTATAATCTACTGCTTTTGCTTCTATCAAAATATATTGCCAGCGTTGCCAATATTTTTCAAAATAAATGCGTATATTTCTTTCAAGCACAAACGCATATGTGCTCCAAATCAAACATGCCTAATAATAATTAATATAATAATGTGTTCCTTAATAATTAAATGTAATTCAACCGCAATAGTAATGTCTAATTAAATTTATGTATTTATCTTATAATAAATTTAGCAAAAACGAGCTTTATATTGCAGTACGCACTACATGTTAAGAAACCTACAGGAGTGAAGATAGCTTGGCACACTTTATTTGTATAATAAAGAAATGCAAAGCAATTTGCATATATGTATGTATAATGCCTGAACTCAATCAATCACAATGTAAGAGGAGATGACAATAATGACAATAAAATCAAGAAAATGTTCTATACGTTATTACTTTGTGTTTTATAAATTGAAATTAAAGAGAGAGAAAAAAAAGAAGAAACCACTGTACTGATTTTGGACGATGAATGGATCCACAACGATCAGCAGTCACACTTCATAATGAAAAATACAAAATGTATTTAAATCACGTAAGCAATAAAATATGCAAAAGCAGGCGGCACACTTCCAGAAAAGTATACTAAAAAATCCGCAAATAAATAAAATTTATAAAAAGGTGCGTCTTGACAAAGTAGCGGAAACTACCATTCCTTTGTTGATATTTGTCAAAAGACTAACTTTATGCAAATTTACAAGATTGTCAAGCAGTAAAAGTGAAAATTATTATTTAACATTTTATATATTTGTTTTCAAATAAACTTATTATCAGTTATTATGCAAATTTTATGCGTCGAATTAAAGAGAACAACATATTAGTCGAATTATGACTACTGAGATAAAAACAAATTTAGAGAGTGCAGAGTAAATAGACGAGTATCTGAACCACTCCCAAATTTTGAACAATTCATTTGTAAAACACTTTAAGCATGTGATTTTTCATTAGAGAGAATATGTGATGTAGATACAAAAAAATAGACGACCACATAAATTTAACAACATTAAAAAAGCGAAGACGGCGTACAGACATTTGATATGATGAAGAAACTATGCTGCTGTCTACGAAATGTCTAAGTTCATTTCTTTGTAAAGCAAAACAAAAAACAGATAAAACCAGAAAAAAAAGGTAAATAAAATTTTTAATCTTGTCAATTTTTGACATTAAAAAGTTTAAGCCTCCGAAAAAATATTCTTATCTAATAGATACGAATAAAAATTAAAGCTACTTTTATGTCATTTTTATGTACAAATAAATAGGTATACAAACAATCTTCAAATTTACATAAAATTAGCATTAATTTTTTTTCCAACAAGATAAAGCTACAACCTCCAAAACTGCACACATTTCTTTCATATCCACTATAATTAAACTATTTTCTGCAATTTAGTTTTTAATACCTTTTAGATGTTTTGTAACGTCGTTAGGTTTTTTGTTAGCCATGTTTCCCTAAGGATAGTAGAATTACACCAGTTTTAACACCATTGAGCAATAAACTATTACAGAATGGCTGCTAAGCATTTTGGATTTTACTCATTACTACCACAAAAATGTGTAGATATAAAAAATAGATCACAAAAACATGTTGAACAAAATAAAAACATTAAGAAACAATCTCTAAAACCAAGAAAAGGATAGGTCAGATCAGGCTAAGTGCCGTATATTCTAAAATTATAGTTCTATTAAGTCAGTAAGAAAAGATACACCAAAGTCGTTAGCCGACATTATCATTAAATAATAATAGTAAATGTTATTGTATTTAAGATGTGTGCGTTATTAGAGAAACTAAAGATATAGTTTCTTTAAAAATCATGAACAAAATACAGTCTCTCTCAACACTGGCACCACAAAAAAACATGGGAGATTTTTTAGTTTAAGATCTTTTGCGTTTTTGTCTCTACATGACCTCTTAACAGTAATAAGTATACACGTACTACCTAACAATACATCGAAAATATTTTAATGCTATTTATAAATGCAAAATTAAAAAAAATATGAATATACCTATATTTCTCTTACTTTCTGAGAATGTTTCCTTTTTTATTTTGTAGTTCTATGGCTAAGTGTTTTTTTACTGCTTATTTATAAAGTTGAAGTTTAAAATTCAAAAGTCATGGTCAGCAAAATAAAAAACAAAAGGTATTATTATTTCAATTATAAAAGTTCATTTACCTTTTTTAGCGTTGAATACAAGATATTTTCGAATAAATAAAACAAAAAAAACAACATTTACACATATATTAATGACAAACAGAAGACTTACGAATATATACAAATATTTTATTAAACAATTAAAGTGCAATACTTCAATTTAAAAAAATAAAATTTTAATATAAGAGCAAAGATTGTTTTTTTATTTCAAAGTTGACTCAATAAAAGCTTAATTAATTTAATAAACATAATATCGGTTTGCAACTTTTAAGCCCGATATCTCAAAAACCGATATCGTAGGACAAAAATTTGCTTATATATTTATATTAACTAAAAGCCTTTATCAATTTACATCGTCGGAAAAACAAAATTTTCTCCTTATTTCATTTTTTCAATTGTTATAAATAATATAAATGTTTATTTATAGTAAATCGAGAATTATATTTTTCAAAAGGAACTCAAATTAATAATAATTTTAGTTTTTTTGCTTTGTTAAATTAATCAATTAAATTGCTTATACCTAAATTACAATAAAACACACATAGATAGCTTTAAATGGTTTAACTTAATAAAAGTAAAATATAAAAATACACAAATCTTTATAAGTATTGTACTTGAAATATATTTTTTTGCAATTAAGTTCTGTTCCAATAGGTCAGTGTAAACACAATCCTCAAATTACTTCATTTCATGCTCTAATGGAAGAAACACTCCACGAACTATACAAATGCGAAAATGATATCATTTTGCAAATATATAAGAAAAAAAGTAAGTAAGTAAAACACTGAATATGCTTTATAAATAAAACCAAAAGGAAACAGATACTTAATTTCGACATACGTACTCATTTTTCATATCTTTCTTATGTATTTATATATCAGCCGGTGTAAGAACTTAGTTACTTTAAACTAAATGTGGTTCACATACAAGTATAGTTGCGTATCAGAGGTCAAATATTAATTGAATTAAGGTGGAGACAAATATTTTTTAAAAATTTCTTAAGCAAATTGGCTTCAATAAGCAAGAGAATAAATTATTATGGTAT